CATCAGACAATGAAAGAACTGTACAGTGATGAGTCCAACCAGGAAGTTTTTTATGAATTTTGTAGGCCCTGTTGTAGAGCCTAACTATGGGTTTAAAGCTTTATACAGATTTAAACATTTAATCACTTTATTCTTTGAAACTGTTACAAATGTTTACGTTTTATTCTTCTGTAAACTTCATTCTCTGTAATTTGACTGTAGTTTTCTTTTTTCATTACTGAAAGCATTGATGTTTTATCTGTATCTGTCTGCCTGTTAGCAAAATATCTCATGAACTACTCATTGAATGCACGTCTACAATGGTTTTAGTTTGGTGTTATCCCATCTCATGATGGCTGCCACGGCTAACTGAACTCAATCAACACCGAAAGGTTTTACAGACACTGAGAGTGATTCACAAACATATTCTCTTAATATTACCAATCACATTAAACTGAGAATATTACGAGATTGTGCTCAACATTATTTTCCAGATTTGACCATAATGACCTGATCAATAGAAAATAATCTTAGTTTAAATCTCTGGTTTAAAAGTTGGCGGTTGACATTCATTCTGTCACTGCTTTTTAKCCTGTCACAGTTATTCATGACAGATAATTTTATAAACTTCCTATTATTGAGGGCTAAGAAAGGATTATATTGGGCTTAGAGGCCCAGAAGTAGGCCATCTTTCTCTAAATGTGTAGAAAAGAATGGAGCGATTAAGATGTTGACCTCCCGTGTCTCGGGCCTCTCCACTTCCTTAATCTCCCGTTTAAGATGCTTCCAGCCTCAGTTATCTCTCTGACTGAACTGAAATAAAAATAATACCTGCCGATCTGACAGTTGGTTCCCTCTACCAGCAACATCTCTCGTTTCAGCCTGAAAAAGAAAGAAAATACGTCAAAAAGATTAACAAGCAGAAAAAAATAACATTAACATTATTTTATTCATTTGACCCTTTTGTTAAGATGTGCTGTGGTTGATTATTTTATATTAAAGAAGTGAGCCCATTCTCTCCCATAGGAGAAGTTTGAAACCAGCAGGACTCAGTTTACAGGAGTGGCTGTCGCGTGTTTTTGGAACCAGAGTCTGTGCAGAAAGATGTGACCTGTTCTTCTGACCTTTCTTCTTAAAAGTCTCTGTGTGGTTATTTTTTAAGTGTTGTTTTGTCAAATAGTTMGTTAGAACCTTATCAGCCACGACATGTCACAGGACATCGAGTGCAGAGAAAGAGGTAAAAATTTTAAGGAAGGCTAGGCTAACGGTTAGCCAAACAAAAACTCATCGTGTCAACAGAAATGTCAGAATCTGGGCTAAAAGTTCACATAAAAAAACATTTCCACATCCAAATCAGAAAGTAAACAAACAAAATCATTTCRACACAAATCTAACATTAGAGCAAATCTCTAAATGTGTTTTGATCCTTTTTGAGTTTATTCTTTTTCCAATAATGCAAGTCAAAGCAAATACTGAAATATGTTTATTAAAATTTAATTTTCAGTGAATAAGCTCCAGCTGGAGCCAAATAAAAAAAACCTCATTGTTGAACTAGAAAAAAAACATTATTTTGAGCAGAAACTTCAAGAAAATCTTTTAAAAGAGGCTAAAACAACTCTTTTGTATAGAACAACAATAAACGTTACATTTGCTGATAATAAACCTCACTTCGTACTGTTTTCTCAACCAAACAACAGTTGTGTTTYTATGAGAATGTAGTGCCTACACACCTTTCCCCACCGGTACCTCCGAAGTGGAATAAGCTCCGCCTCCTCTCAAGAAGACTAGCTCACTGAGCGCCTCCCCAGGCCTGGCTCCATGAGATCCAATTAAAACGTTTACAAAAAGTGTAACAGCCTTGACTGTTCTGTCAAAACCAGTGAGGTCATGTTGTCCAACATTATCCACTCATGTGTTACCAGTGTTGTATACAAAAAAGGATTATTTCATTAATTACAGTTAAAAGCCAAGTATTTGGTGATAATGAGAAGTCTCACTCAAATAATGTGTTTATTGTTATTATTTTAGCTCCATTAGTGACCACAGGTGAGGGAGGAAACCTAAATTCAGAGTTTTGCTTCTCCACTCAGCTTTCTTCACCACGACTGACCGGAACAACACCCTCGTTACTGCAGATGAGGTCCTTGTCCATCAATCCATCTCTGCTCTGTCCGACCTTCAGTCATGAACAAGACTCCTAGATCCTGAAATGTTTCCAGTCAAAGACCCACAGGCAGCCTCCCCTCTTGTTTTGGTTGGAGAACCATGATCTTAGAGGAACTGATTGATATGAGCCGCTGAACCACCACAGTGGGCAACGAGGGTCCTGACCCAAAGACTCCAACAGAACCATATCTCTTCCACCACCTCACAGTAAACTTTCCCACATTCCTCCGCTCAGCAGATGTTCCCTCCATGCAGCGTTACAGAGATGTGTCAGCCACGACAGTTTTCTGGCTGTGACCGTCATCTTGAACTGGATTCAAGAAGTTAATTAATAAACATTATATTCTTGTAAGAGATATTTTGTTATTAGACGAACAAACACAGCCACAGACATTACTATGGAGTGCCGTTTGTAAAGTTACACAGTCAAACATTAACAC